CCATCATGCCAAATTTGGTGAAGATCCATCAACAGGGGGCGAAGTAATGTAAAAAAATGCAAAAATGCCCATAAAAACCGCAAAACGCAAAACTGAAAATTTGTATGTACCCCCGCATGGATCTGATGAACTTCCATACCAATTTTGGTTCAGGTCTATATCCACACCCTGCGAAGTAGTTACATAGACATACAACAGACAGTACTATTATATTCATATAGATATATGACGTTGACAGCCTGAAATAAGTATTTTGAGGGGTTAAGGATACCCAAATGTTTCATAATTAACTCAATAATATTCTTACAATTCCATGTAATATCCTTACAGTTCCGTATAATATCCTTACAGTTCCGTATAATATCCTTACAATCCCATATAATATCCTTACAATCCCATATAATATCCTTACAATCCCATATAATATCCTTACAGTTCCATATAATATCCTTACAGTTCCATATAATATCCTTACAATCCCATATAAAGCACTAGAATGATCCGTAATTTCTGCTAAACTAATCTTAAAGAAAAAATTAATAACATTTTATAACTAGGTCATCGGAGAACAAAAGATAACCCTTGAGGGAAAACTGGACATCTACATTTCCGGGCTTATTTAAATTATCAGCATTTACACTTTAAAACCTCATAATACAATACTGTGATTTCAGTTTTTAGTTCTGACATCAGAACAATCCCCGCGTATATGTAGTAGGAACAACCGCGAACTTCAAACTTTCTTTATAATAATATAATTATAAACAAAATGATACAATATATAATCTTCATTTTAAATAAAGGTCAGCTATGGCACAAGGCACTGGTCATCGTTCGTGCAGTTTGGCAACTTATAATGGACTTTCTTTATCACATCATAGATTCTTTTAGTCACAGTTAATGACATTCGTGGAGTTAATATTGTTTTGGTCCTGTAACATAACACATTAATATGGGACAGTCACTACTTGGAGCATATATACATTATCAGTGTACGCTTATGAAAACAATATGTACATTCATTCATCAAAATCAGGCTCTTCAACGTACTCTTGCTCCTCATTATCTTTCACAAGGATAATCCTTGGTGTGGGTGTTGTCCTCAACAAGGAACTTCCAGTATAGTGTGGAGAACACACTTGCTAACACTCGCAGCTGCAAATATTACATGAATATGCGATGCACACCCACAGTAGATTACTCTTGCGAACTTTGGTGGAGCCGTTTGTGTCACACCCACAGCAATTCTCTGACCATCAACCAGTGTCCAACCAAACTCTTCAGTATTCACTGTGGTTATCCTTGATGGTCACCTGGTTTCCAGAATAGAATCTACAGATTTGCACAGAGAATACGTTGTGACAAGTTCCACCAGTTAGCAGTAGGGTTTTTATCGTCGGTGTATCTTTTCTGCTGGCAAAAAAAAAAAAGGTACTGTGTCTGAATTCTTTCACGGTCATCACAGTTTTGGAGTTGTGTATCTCCCAGAAAAAGAGAAAAAAGCGACGACCAAATGCTATGTCTTCTTCGGTAGGGCAAATTAAAACCAATTATATATTAAAATTTATAATAACAGACGACAGAAAAGTGTCGAATAGCAAACTAAAAACAACAACAACAAAAGCATACGCTTGAGAAATTAGTGCCACATTTCAATCGCATTTTTTTATATTAAAATGTCAAGCGCTCTAATAAAATGGTACTTATTATTTTCATTTCAACACGTAGAATACGAGGGTAATAAGATTAACCCCAAAATATGATGTCAGTGGAAATACAAAGTACAATGTGGATAGTTATAAGGACAAACAAGAGCCACTGTGTAGGGAAGTTTCAACTGCATTCCAAGAAATCCCCAGATATAGGCTTATAGGTGATCACAATGAAATTAGGCCAGCTCCTGGGGCCAACCCACTAACCACACACTGGAATGTGAAGGATTAATGACGAAGTCTCAGACTCGCTGATGTTTGTTAACCAACATTTTGTTGATGGTATTTTGAATATAAAAGTTTATTACTCAGTAGTAATGTTATTAGTGTATCACCTTTTGACAATTTGTGACCTATTTAAAACATACAATTGAAGCATAGTGCAGTATTACGTCCCTTCAAGATTGAAAGAGCCTACAATTATTAATTTTATGTGGAACGTTAAAGATGTCGTCATTTCGCTACTCTTTACGAATCACTTTTTTCTGTAGATCACGAAGTATTTGTATTTTATGACAAAGGCTATTCTTTGAACTAATGACCAAAGAGTTACAACCAACAACACTACCCTACCGCCCACATCCACAATAAAAGAGTTATTGTCACTCTTATAACTCACTCACAGCTTATAGTGGGGGTAGGGGTATTATGTGGTCTTGCACGGGTTGAAACCTGAAATCCAGAACTTTATCATAGAGTTAGCCCTGCCCAGATTATGAAGTTAAAATGTTATTGTGTGTGTGTGTGTTAGTGATAGTTTCTAAGATGGCCTTCAGTGCCATTTCTGCATTCTGAGGCACTGACATGTTTGTACATGATTCACAAATGCTGATGGTTTGGAAAAAACGTAAACGTCATGTTTAATATTTCATTTTACCTTTAATACTCTGAACTTATGACCTCTGGTGACCTACTTATGGATTTTATACTGTAAGATTACTTTAGTAGAGGTTATAGAGATAATTTATGTACCATAAATAACATTGTAAGTATATTATTAAAAGATTATGAAAGACTGTCTCTACTCACGCTGGAGCCTACTGTTAATTGCCCCCCCCCCCCAGACTGATTTTGCTGATTCTGCCTATCCATAACGTCTACTTTTAAGTTCACACAAATATTCCAGCTTTACAAGTAGAATAAAATGAATGAAGAATATACTACATGTTGTCTACTCCTCAACCCTTTTGTTACACAATTTTTCAGATCTGTTATGCATACTTTACATGTGTAGGTTTAACTTAGGATATTGTTCCATAAAACAGTTAAGTTCCTTTTGCTTTAGTTGCCTGTGGTATTGAGTCATTCGGTTGTGGTGTCACTCATACTTTCTCATGAGAAGGGTCATTATAAAGTCGGTTATATTATGTCGAAATTGACAGTGATCCTTTCCATTGGTATGTCAGGCGATACCTTGAGCTCATGTTCTCTTTTTTTTTTCTTTTTTTTTCAAATGGGAATGACTAACAATCTCATGGGTAGTACAAGCACCCTGGTAAATCTATCATTATTGTTTTGGGTATATAATGCTATGTTTTATCTCTTTGGGTCAGAGAGAGAGATAGAGGTGTATCAGCAGAGCAATCAACTTTGGCTTCCTTTCAGAGAGCTCTCCGGTAAAGGCACTGCCCTTCGTGTACAAACGTACTGTTACGTCTTTGTTCTCTAGTTGATTTTCCGTAACTTTGTTCCGACAAAACTTTAGCGACTCAAGTCCTTTCTTAATAAAACTAGTTTATTCTTTCCGAATACAACTTTACGATACACTTAATTTCAACAGTCGCGCTATAACAAACGCTATAACAATGAACGTCTCACGTGCTCAACTTCACCAATACTCTCTGACTGCAGTTCAATTACTCATTACCTACACACATTGTCCCGTCACGTTGTGACCATCTTATATATATATATACCAGAC